AAAAAACTACAAGGCTCACTTTGATGCAATAATCGCTGTACAAGAAGTTTGAGCATATTTAGCTTTTCAAGTTTGCATCAAATGAATATTAGATATAGGACTACCCATTATTTATTTGACTGTTGATGTAATCATAACAACTGCTTTCAGCGAAAACACATCCCCACTTCCGACCGTACCAATATGCTTTTGTTTCCGCTAACACTAAACTTTCATTTGTTTTGTACCACTGTCTAAAAACTGATACTATACTGCAAAATAATTGGGAAACGAGTTAAAAATGAACGCTAAAAAAGTCATTTGCCTAAAGTTAAATACATAATATTTCATAAATAAAAGTTACAAACAAGATCGCCGGGCAAATTTTTGAAACCCCATATGTCATTGATTATTAATTTCGAATTAATTTCCAATTATATAGCATTAAAGGAATATGTTTGTTAATATTGCATTTAGATTAATGTGCGGAATTATTTTCTCTGTGCACTGTAGCTTGTACATGGAACTTTTTCAGTATTCAGTTGATTTAACTAAAAGTGTAAAATTCTTCGTCACTTTAGAAATGCAACACTCCAAGTCTAAACTCATAGTTTAAGTGTGATTTTATCAGTATTTATCACTTGTTATCTTGATATATGATAGAAAGATGATAAAAATAATAATAAACGTACAGAAAGGCATCTAAGTTTATTCACTTGAAAAATAAAGGTGAAACGACAAATATTTTTCACTTTCTCACTTTACTTATATATCTTTTACCTGCGATCAGTGATGTTGCAACAAATGAATCAAATTATTGAAATCAAGTTATTTTTTGATTTGAAATTATCAAAAATTTTCAAATTTCCTAACTTTTTTCCGTTTCTTGTCGCTTCAAGAATAGAAGCGGAAATTTTTGTAAAATAATTCTTTCCATTTGATAAAATCGGTGTCATCAGTTCATTCTAAAAATGAATTTTGAAGATAAAAAGTTGATTTAAAATGAACATAATGTGAGAAATACGTATTATGCAAAAAAAAAAAGCAATAGGCTTTGAGTGATCGAATCTTCTTCTGATAGAATTCTCAATTAGTTTTGTTACAAAATGAGTTTATTGCACTGGTAAATTGTAAATTCATAAGTACGGCTGCAATTTGCAATAATTTGTGCATAATTTGTAATTTCAACAAAAAATTTGCGTAATAAAGTATTTGTTTTTTTCGCAGTGTAGATGTAATTTAATAACAGATATTACTTTTCGCAAAAAAATTGCGTAATAAAGTATTTTTAAAAAAAAATTGGAATACTCAGATGTTAAATGATTCATAGTAGTCTCACGTATATCACATAAAATATTTTAACCAAAAGAATTTTTGGAGAGGAAATTTTTATTCAGACGCTTGAATAAGTTTTGTTTTCTAAAGTCTGATTTTTTGGTAAACTTTGCAAGCAATACAAATATGAATTTTCGGAATTGGAAATGTCAACCAGGTTTTTTCATACACTTTGCTTATTCCATCAAATGTAGTTTACAAAGTTCGTGCCCTTTTTTCATAAATATGAAAGGAAACTTAGAAGAATGAAATTTATGATATTTTAAATTGTAACTGAAAGATCGAGTTATCTTCATCACTAAAATTTCTGTGAAACTAACAAAATGCACTTTAAGGCTTAATAAAATGTTGAATACATTATTTTTATTATTATCACATTGTGACGTTGACAGAAATTTGAAAATGATTAATACTAACACCGTAAATATATTCATTGAGATGAATTCTGTCTTCATCATCTGCTTCAACACCTCGCAAATTCTGACATTTGAAATGATTTCTAGCTGCTATCTAAACAAATGCGTAACTTTTTTAGTAAAACAAAAAAATTGAAATCAGTAAGATGAAATTAATCATGTAGCTGTTTGTTTCATTATTTTCCATCAGAAGCAATGAGAAAAAAATTGATCAAGAAGTCAGTTATCTCATTAAGTTAATTCATCCTACAGTATAAACAAATTTTACCAAATATTTTTACTAAAGGAAAAAAACAATGTCAAAGTGTATATTGAAAATAAAAGCAATTGCCACAATTCAATTTTTAAAAATGATTTGCAATATTTGTAATTCATTCATACAGATCATCATTAAAATTGATGTAATTCTTGTTTTTTGCATTAATTTTAATTCTAATTTGATAAGTTATCCATTTAACTTAATACAATACGTTACGTTTAAATTACAAAGAGCTGCACTGTAAATGAAGCTTAATATTTGACTATTGGAAGTTTGACAAAAAAAATATTGAAAAAAGTAGCCTAGTCATCTCTATTCTAAGAAGTCAGCTTTGCAAATTATTATTTTATAAGCTTCTTTCAAGGATTCTTCGTTTCTAAAGAATTTTCTTTCAGTGCTTGGAAAAAGTCTTGCGTAATCAAAAAAAACTTTTCCGAGATTGCGAAGAATTCGAAATCAGTTCAATAATATTAAAGATGCAGCATAATGTAGAATAGTTAAAGTAGGTCAATTTTTCCTTCACCACAGCATTATCTTGAAAATCCATGTAAACTGCAGTAACTTGTTGACTACCACTTGCATCAGTCCACTGGAATTCTCGGGAAGAAGTCAATCTCTTCTTTGGATTAATCAAGCCAAAACCCTATAAGAATTGTAACAAACATTGTCAGACTGTTACTTTTAAAATGATATTAATGAACATGAATAATCAGTCCCTTGAGATTATATTGCTACTAAATAAGCCATAATACAAAATGAGTAACTAAGAATAAAATTAATTTAAGAATGTGTCGAATTTTTTTACTAAATTAATTGATATCATTGGAAATTTTTATGTTTTATGTTATTTTCAACATGTAACTATATTTAAGCAAACAGAATGAGATGTCTGGTTTTTATTTTGTTTTCATGTTGCTTTCATTTTGCTTATGAAGTGCACAACAATCAGAAATGCTTCACGTAAAATAAAAAACGTGTTTTAAACACAAATGATTTAATAAAATTACGTTCATGCGGTTGCACAATGATAAAAAAGCTAACCAAAGCATGAAGTATTTCATGGCGAAAAAAATCTTCAACTGCCTGAAATGAAGTCCATCGACGATTCATTGCGCACAGAGATAATTGACCAGCTGTCGGACTAAATTCATTGAAATAATTAAAATTGCGCAAAAACTTCAAAATAGCAATGCAAAAAATAAATTGAACTGAAGCACATTTTAAGTTGATTTGACATTAATAGATTATCTTTTTTTTAACTAGCTGATAGCTATAAAAATTGCTCATCTTAAGAAATACAGTCTCTGTTACTTATATGTGTATGGATGAATACTTAAAATACAGTAAGTCGTCAGTAATTTTGTAAAATGATTCATCTTTTAGGAATAAAAGCTAATTTTTCAGTTCAAAACTTGCAAACTTATTTGTATTATTATTTTTTTAATGATAAGCATTAATTTACGGATTATCTCTGATTAAAGCGCATGGTGAAGCTATTCCAAGTAAACCATCATCATTTTCGCATCTTTGAATGTCAACCTTGAAACATAAGATTTTTTTAGCATGCACTTCATTCCATTACTATAACTAAACATATTTCATGGTCAAATACATTCTGAAGGAGTATTTTTGTATAAAGGACTTGACTATCAATTCTAATTCTATCTCAATATACGTGAGGCATTGCACTACAGATGCCTTTGAGAATTCCTATGAATTACTAGAACTTATAATTTTTTAACGCAAAATAAATGTTGTTAAAGTCGATGAATAAGTGTGCAGTGGAATTCAAAAGTTTTCAAAATACTAGAAATATTCATATTTTAAAGCAACAAGCTACCGATGACACACTTACTTGCAAAAAAAGCAAAAAATTGACATTGTAGAAAGTCAAATTAATTTGGTTCGTAGCACTGAATTGATCAAATTTTTGCCATTTATTCATAGTTCCAATCCAAAACTGTTTTTTAAGTATTGCATGCCAGTGTGGAGTGCAATTTGCAAAACTTTCGACATTTAATTTATTATTTTCAAGTGAATACCATACATTGATAAGGTAATGCATTTTTAAAATACCTACTCGTAGACCATTCTACAAAATGCGAAAACAAATTTGAGTACATTTTTTGAGCATTTTATTTAACTGATAAAGTGGGATTGAAAATAATGCCAAAAGTCAGTAGAAATAGTATAAATAATTGCATCGTTTTAATTTCTTGGTAATTTTTTCCCTTTTTTTTAATTTGCATTTTACATTTACTCATTACTCTGGAATATTCGTCAAAGGAATAAAAATTAACCAATAATTTTGGTGATAATTGAAACATTGCTTTCTCGCTGACAACACCAATTTTAAGTGGCTCCCAGTGAGGTATCTGGTTTAACAGTAACACCAAGTTTGTTTTCATCAAAATTAAAAATATCAAATGCATTAATCGACATGAACCGATTTTTTGGAGCAAATAGAGAATAAATAATGATAAAAATATCATTGATAATAGCATGATCATGATAGTAAAAATCGTTATCAGAAATGTATGAGTAATGAAATGGAAATAAAATTAATTCAGTTCTAAATACAATAAAAAGACTGATTTGAACGGAAAAAATTCTTATTTTGACGGGAGAAAGTTCAATAAACTTTAATTTTTCTTGCTGAATCAATTTGTTTCCAGGAAACTATGAATAAAGCAAAAAATATTGTAACTTTATTTTGGAAACTTTGCGCTTGCCATTCTAGAAACAAAAAAATGCAAAAATTTTTACGTCCGATGCAATTCTGTTTTATATATTTTTCAATGTTTTGAATATAAATAAAAAAGTGTTCATTAGTTTAGGTAACAAATAACTGCTTAATTTTTGCTAAGGTTTTCTTGCTTTAGAGCTTCTGCATCAATAAATAATAATTTACTAAAAAAGTAGTTTTTATAGCTATAATTTTTCAATCATTTTTATCAAACCATTCATAATTGCTAATTTAAAAAATTTGATTAAGAAGATTTGCAGATTATGCAAGCAATATTTCAGTTCTTTTTTCAAACTATTTGTTCCATTACTACGTTAAGTTATATTTTTAGTTTCATATAATACTTCAAATCAAATATAAACTTATTCACTACCAAAGTTATAAAAAATTTTGGTAAAATGGTTTTGTTCAGAATTATTTCACTTTGTTGATTTCATTAAAAGAAATCATACTGGAAAATGAAATAGAAATTCAAAAAAACATTAAACGCTTTTGATTGATACTATTTATACTAAATATTAATATAGAAATCAGTTAGAGAAAATTTTTTGACAGTAATACAGAAAAAAAATTTTTTTTAAACAATTTTCTAAATTTTGAATACAAATAATTTATTTATCCCTTCACAATAGACTGTTGCCTTCAAGAAAAATTCTTTGTTTCAGTCTAACTTGTATCTCATTATTGTCGATAATCAGTTTTCAATTTAATCTCTTATACTGTCCTTATATGTTCTATTTTTTTAAGCGAGTTCTACTTTGTCATGCATTATGAAGTAATTTGTTGTGGTGAATAGTTTTTGCAGATCGAAATTTCGTCTGAATGCTATTTCAGTAATTTATTTATTTATGCTGAGTGCTATTAAAATGTTTAATGTATTATTCCGCAAACTTTAACTTTCTTTTAACCTTCTGCAAACAGTTTTGCATTATTTGCAGTTAGCCAAACAACTTTATTGCTTTATAGAATTCATCAAATATTTATCAAAGTTATATGAAAATTTTGTGCATCCAATCAATTTCGTGATTGAATATTGACAACTTTATTGACGATGTGTTCTTATGTGTCATCCACAACTATAAAAGTAAACAGTTGCATAATCCGTAAATACATCATTGCTCTTTGCCTAAGCTGTGCAGCTAAAAGATAAATTTTTGCAATTAAATAAGCAAAATACCAAGAAATTCTTTCATTTCTTTTCTGTTCTCCAAACTTGAGTAAATATATCTTATTATTCCATCACAGAGATATTATTATCATTATTTTGAAGCAAATATTAAAAAGATTTTTATACTGTAACTTTATTGTGATCGCATTAAAGCTATGGATCAATCTACATCTTTTTATTATGATATGTTGTAGTGATGATCTTTGATAGAAAATTTGTTTATAACAAAAGGATGGTAATAAGTAGCAGAAAAAATTTCATTTAAAATTCCTATCGATTGATCAGCAATTGACAGTTTTGGAATTCATGAACATTTTTTGCAGCAGTATGCACCAGTTCTAAACCAAAAATTATCTTTACATGCTTTTCTTGTGAACAGATTCATGTGCCAACTTAATATCTTGAGCTCAGTACTACTGATTTAATTTTCATGCACATTTATCATTAGATTGTAATGATAGATAATGCTTTGATTAATCTTTCACAACGATTGTTTTTTCTAATTTTGTAACATTTCCATTTAAAATTCATTACCTTTGCAAAGCGATTTTTTATAAAAGGTTTTTTTTAATTAGAAATAAAAGATGAGAGTAATATA